ATTGGTCTGATTACTTAATTGTATGAATTAAATTACTAAGATGAATGAAAGAATAAATGACAAGTTTAATTGCAAATTTCAATCCACTGTACATACATCATACCATCTCTTATCAGAGCCTTGTTAATAATCCTTACTACGCATACTTATTGGAATCAAAATACAATATTATCAACTCAAAAGGAATTCAGAAAGCAACAGGGAACTCTTTCCTGCTAAATTAATTCATTTACTTACATAGGTGCTGGAACTAGGAGCGAGGGGGGTTCTGTGACACCCCCTGGCTTGAAGTGCTTTCCTTTATACACAGCGTTTATAGTTTCAGTGGTTCTCAGCATTTCCATTAAAAAAATTATTCCAGCAGCAGCCTGAAGCACAGTTCTCTCCATCTCGGTGTACAACACCCATGGAAATCAAGACAGATACACTTGTATCCTGATAGGGGATAACTGGGCCCCAGACTCTCAATACAGTTAACCACAAACTACAAAACTGAATACTGGAGGAGCTGACCAACAACAACATAAATAGCATCACGTGACCAAAATCTCATAAATTCTGTGATGAGATGATTCAAAACACTTTGCAAAAAATCCTATTGCTGTATATTCAGAATTCCAAACCTTTCTTTTTACCCAGTGACATTTTAAACAAGTCTCTATTACATTGTTAAAATGCTGTTAAGATCTTTTATCAAATCTTCTTTACATTTTACTCAGAAATGAACCTGATCCACATACCTCTAAACATTAATGGGCACCAGAATCCAAACCCAAAGCCAGATCTACAATTTGCAAATAGGCCATGACTCTTTAGTGGAGTCAAACCAAAAGACCAAATTGAAATACTTCCATTTTTACAGTAGGTTCAAAATCCAGATCAGGTTAGACTCATCTCTATTATTTTATTAAGGCCATGTCTATACTACAAAATATGTTGACCTAACTTACATTGGTTAACAGCCACCATAGTTATTAAATCACTTGTGTGTATGCACATTTCAGTGTTTGTGTCAGCAGTGCATGCCCTTGCCAGTAGCGCTTGTATCAATTGAATTGTCAGGTGGGACATTGTGGGATGGCCCCTGAAAGCCAGTAACAGTCAATTAAAGCAATGCAGTGTCTGCGTCAACCTCATTACATCAACCGTGACTCTACACCACTCAGGGAGGTGGTGCTACTAAATCAGCACAAAGAGGCACTTACGTCAGCACAAGCCAGATTTCAGTGAGGATACTTCCACAGCTAAGTTGACCCAAACCAGCTTATGTCAACGTAACAATGTAGCATAGACCAGGCCTTACACACCACACATAGATTCAAAGCACTGGATCTACATGTACGGCAAGGAGTCAGAGGCCTGCTTACCATGCTGACCATGCTGTAGCAAAGGAACTAGATCCAGCAGAGTCACCAATGTCACGTAAAGTCCTTGATAGTCCAATGATGGGTAGTCTGATAACTGAGCATCACGACTTTGCTGGCCGCGTTCAGATGGAGCATCTCGCAGGACGCTGTAAAGGAGGGAGCGAGTAACAGTAGGGTTGATGGAACTGACCTGTGGTCTTAGAGATGGGGTGAGTGGGAATGGCACAGGAAAAAGACACATGGTCATGGGCACTGTCAAATTGGAGGCATCTTGATTCTCCTTCTTCCCTGTGCGGGACAAAATGCTGTTGGGGGGACAAAGAAAAAAAAGAGACAACAAAGACACAAAGAACAGCACATTACATTGAAATGACACTATAAAACAAATAATAAAACACCAGATATACCCCACATAAGATGCAATTTCTACCAATATGAATATGTTTGCAAATCTAGCAACCATTCACTTCCATGCTTCAAGACTGTAAAATTAAAAATTGCCATTTGTGAAAATTTCCATTGCATCTCATGTGTTATCTGGTTCATAAGGAGCAAAAATATAAAAATGCATGTTTCAGTGCCATACCCATGTTTCACAATGAATCAAAATTGGTAACTGAGCTGCTTGCTATGAAAAGAATAGCTGTGTCCAAATAGCTGGAGAATTTGCTCTGCAAAGATTTGGGGAAAATATTTTTTCAATAAGATTGTTTGAATGAAGGGAGTGAAAATTTGTAAAATATAGGTGTGGCACTTTCAGAAACATGTTTTAGCAAAGAATAAACATGTGGGTTTATTAAGATAGTCTTAAAAATCACATGTTTATTGCATCAAAATAATGTCTGTATGTATTTTATGATACTGTTTCATGACATTCTGTCAGTATCATTTGAGATAATGAAGTTTAAACAGGCATATGGATTTAGAAATAATATAATATTTCTAAAATGTTAACTAAACTACATTTGGAGAAGCTATAAAATAATATATAGTAAATGATCTTTAGCATATGTTTGTGAGCTAATGATAATGGTTGTTTATGTGTGTTTTTAATTTTGCCAGTGTTTGGGGAGGAAACACTTTATTTTATGAATACAAACACTCTTTTGGTAAATAGTTACTTCCAAATCTAAGGGCTAAGAAAGCAATACCAGTTATATTATTCAACAAAACTCACTACAAACTAAAGGAAAGATAATTTCAAAAATTAAAAATGGCTTAGTGGGCATAAAAATAGAGTCCAAATATCAACCAGCTTGCCATGTCTTTTTAAAATTATTATAAGCATGTTAGACCAATTGTTCTGAAATGATTTCTAATTTAAAAATTAGAAGAAATTGCTGCTTAAGCAACAAAGCTATATTTTAGATAGCTTAACAGATAATGAATATGCATTATAGGATTATCTAATAAACTTTTTCATGCTCCTATAAAAGTATGATATACTATTTTAATACTGTATATTAAACCAAATACCAACTTATTGTACATGTATTGTATCTGTAGGGTGAACTTCCAAAAATGGCCAGTGCTGGTGTAACTCTGTTCCCATTGAAGTCAGTATTAAAACTTGTAAAATACAGGTGTGGAATTGAAACATCCAACAACTTCAGTGGAGCAGAGTTAGGTCAATAGTAAGTGCTTTTGAAAATTCCACCCACCCTAAACAAAATTCAGACCTCAATCTTGCAGACACTTAAACATACACGTAATTTGACTCATGTGTTTTCCCATAGAAGTCAGAGCAATAACTCACATGAGAAATTTTCACTCATGCTTATGACTTTGCAAGAGAGAGCCTGATTTACTTGCCATAAATATTAAAATTTTACAATTACATCTCGGAACAAAAGTGGCTGCAGTCAGGCATACTTGATCTGTCCAGTATGCAGATGTTATACAGTTATAATATAATCTACCCTAATAAAAGTTGCTGCATAGTTTTATTTCTTATTACGCCTGTAAATTATTTTGGTTTCTGCTACCCACTGTCCATCCCAAGATAAGTGACAATAAGTTTGGTCTGATAGTTTTTATGAAACCATAAACCAACCAAGCTCTATTAGGATTTTAAAAGTGAATTATCAGAGTGCAGATTCCTCTTTTTTGGATTGCTTTTTTAATTTTCTTGACTTTTATATGCTACATTTTGCAGCTCCTGATTCAAGATGTTGTAGGTATCAAACTACATTTAACCCCTTGCTCTGAACAGGGTCTACTCACTAACCCCTTCATTTGCCAACATATCACTCCCCAGAATCGCTACCACCTGACAGCAAAACTTTCAGGAGGAACTTTCTAGCATTAATAAATCCTTGTTTTGGAAAGTGTATGGCAGTGATAGCTAACATTTATCTCAGGGTCTTCCTCCTCCTTATTATGAAGGCAGGACCCATGAAAACTGCAGATCCCATTATACAATACTCCATCTTGATCGTACAGGCCTTTGATTCAGTTCAGGTATTAGAAATGAGCTCCGGCCAAAGCCCCAGTTCCTATCACCCCAAAACTCAAAGGTTCCATGGATATGGATTTGCAGCTAACCCAAAGCTCTATAAAGCAACCAGTCAAAACTCCAGATCCAATGATTCTCCTGAACTTTAAGTAGGCTGCAGATTAAGATCTGGCCACAGTAGTTTCTATTCAAAATGGAGCACTGTACACTGAGACCTGTAGTAACTGCAGGCCACTTCCATGATGAATCTGATCCACTATATGCAAATGAGTTGCCAATACAGCTCTCAATTGGCCAAAGCTTGGGCTGCCTTGCTGCAACTGAGGCCATTCTCCAAATTACTAGCTTTCAGAGGTATTTCTTTCAGAAATGGTACCTCCACACAGGGGAAAGCAATAAAAATATCTTGTGCATTAATAACTGTTAATTAAGTAAAAGAATTTTGTCTATTGTTAAGAAATGCACAGAATGAGGTTTTTTCTAAGACAACAAGAAAGAGGCAGGTGTTCTGTAAGAGATTTATTATGTTCTAGGTCAATCCTCAAGTAAGGGAGGAAAGGCTGGAAATGAATAATGCATGAAACTTAAATTCATGCTGTAATGTAAAGAAATGCTTCTGCCCAAAGAGAAAATTGAGGAGGAGCTAAATGAATCAATGTGTTATGCATTGTGTATGGTGATTGTATGTGATGTTTATCCATAAAAAGTAAATTCCTCACTTTTTTCAACCATAGCCACTTCTTCCCACCCCCACCCAGAGCCTGTTACACATTCAAATGTATATAAACAAGAGGACCAAGGTTGCAACTAAACTGAAGCTATTGGCATTACACCAGATATAACTTTGACCCAAAACAGGAGGAGTCCCCCACTCAGAAGAACTAAGTCAATGTGTTTAGAACTCAGGAAAGTAATTGTCCTGCCAAGGTACAACAGGCTGCAAAAGCTCCACCTGCTAAGGCATAGTACACTAACAACTAGATTGTGAATATGTGACTGCATTTTGTACTCCGCTGTGCAATAATGAGTGTGGACAAGGTCCTAATGTGAGAGGCAGAAAGAAGACTTGAAATGCATTCAAGTCACTCAGGGAAACTCTTGAACAAGCCAACATCCTGAGATGTTTATTTAGGATAATTCTACTTAAGGTTACTGAAGGGGGAACTATGTACAATTAACTGGAGTTTCCTTCTTGCCATGCTCAATGGAGGTTAAGGTGTTTTGTCTATCCCTGTCCTGGTTTCATCATGTGTATGAAGTTGTGGTAAGTTCACACCACAGCACCCAAGTCCAGAACCAGGTTTTAAACACTCCAAAGTTGCAGGAGGTATGGATTGGGAGGGGTTGATCTGGCCTATTTTAAGGTAATAGCCTATATGAAATTCAGATCTAGACGCAGAGCTGGATTTCTAATGCCCTCGCTCTAATTTTGGGGATGTTCAGATCCAACATTTTGATTTGCCCATTATAAAGAAAGACACCATCTATAAAATTATATGCAAATCTAAGCACACGCTGTGAGCACCAGCTCAACCTTTATCAAATTCAGGGTAATTAATACTAAGGTTTTGGTTCAGTCCAACCTCTAGTGTGAAATAAAGAAGCTAAATGGAATTGCTCCCTTCCTATGGAACTAACAATTCTGCAGGCTTAAAACAACCACATGTAAAAGGGAGTTATGCAGACATTTAAATTCTGTTTTTATAGCCAATAAAATGAGTTGCTTAACTCAATGGAGCAACTTGAAGTCTCATAAGGTATAAAAAAATTCTTACCAAGAATACATTGTGCAATGTACTGTTCTGAGCAGAGTTAGGTGACACTGTGGTAAAATGCATTCACCTTGTCTATGCTGCAAATTTCAAAGGTGCTGACACTGATGGAGTTCCACCCAAATGGGATTATCTTAGTGCACAGCTTTGAACAAGTCACTAACGAGAGGTGAGAGAGAGAGGGAGAGTGCATGCTCACAATCCAAAATAATTTGCATGGCTGAATAGCTTGGTAGGTCCACTCAGCTTATGCACAGGCTGTTTTGCTGCACACAGAATCTTGTTTTTCAAATGTTTCAAACCTGATTTTCAAATGTTTTCATTGTTTGATTAGCTAATTAAAAATATACTGACATGGAATAAGAACCATATTTCTTAGCGACTCTTAATATCCCTCTGAAGATTTTTGGCTATTAATGTAACATATTAATAGAATCACATTCCGTCTGCTGGACCTAAAAGAGCCGTTTAAGTTAATATAAGTGAGTTAATCAACTAACATATTCAGTAAGCTAAAAATTTCATGATGGCTTACTGATTCTATTAATGAAATCTAGGAATATGAAGTATAAACACAACTCTTGACAGTTTGCAGTCAAGAAGGGATTCTGAGGGTAATGTGTATTTCTACATATGTATTTCTCCCTTGAACATAGAAACAAAATCTGAATTGTTTCTGAATTCCATGATCTATGAATGTGGACTCTCAATTATTTTTGTATTAAGTTTTAATACTTGCTTAACATTTTTTCAAGCAAGAGAGAACACTTCTTATCTCCAAAAAATATTAATGGCCACACTTCCAAAGTAGCCTCTGAAACAGTGCAATTTTACAAGTGTATGTATTTTCACAGGTGAAAATCAGATAGTTATACATACAAATGCAACTTAAACTCACAACTGTCTGCATATGAAATATTATGCCAAAAAATGTACAAAAATACATCTGCAATATCAAAAGATATCGAAAGGGCAATTAGAAAATTTAGGTCAACGAATCCATTATATTGTGGGAGAACTGGAATACAAGTAATGTTCCCAATGAAGTTGCACACCTATCGGATAGCTCTCTTTAACAAGTTGACAGGTAATATTACCTGTCAAAATCTATTCTGTAATCATACTTAATACTTATTGATTTATGCATTGCAACTAGAGTGGACTAAACCAAATCCTTAGATCAGAGCAATTCTGAACTATTAATGTCATGTGTGCCTATGGCCATTGCTATAACAGGCTGAAACAAAATCAAGATTTGAAAGCCCACTGAACTATGGGACAGCTTTGTTTCTAGTTCTGCTGTTTAGGCTCATCTCAATAGGACCCTACAGCTTTTGGATTGTCAGAGAGGTCACGGTCAGAAACTGGTGAAATTTTATAGCAACCTTCTCTCTTCTTTACTTCAAGCGCTAACCTATAGTGGGGCCAAGTAAACCAGGTTTTGTTTTAGAGTCAGTCACTCACAGTCAGCTCAATTGAGCAAATTGGGCAACAGTCACTGTTGTGATTCATTTGTACCATATTTTGTATTAAATTGAGATCTGACTCCTTCTGGTTGATCTATAAGATCCATTAACCAAGAAGAAATCAATAAATATCCCCTTACATTTTTCTCTTGAAGAGCATAATTTAAAACTTACCTCAACAAAGTCTGAGAAAAGTATTTCAGAGTGTTTGCAATGTCAGTTCCAGAGGGCACAGGATAAATATTGTGAAGAACGCGGTTATGGTATTCCTGTAGGTAGCGGATCTTGGAAGCAACTAGATTAAAAAAAAACACAGACATTTTTATTTAGTTTAGTTCCAGTTAAGTCACCACATCAGTTTTCTACCCCTATTGTTAAAATTAATGCAAGGAAATAAACTTTAAGAGACAAATCTTTCCTATCTTTATAGTGGCTAAAGGAACTGAATACTCTAATGAAGGAGAGATGAAAAAGAAAATATTTTATATAGAATCTTTAAATCTGTTTTAGTTCTACTCTGTCAAGTAAACAGTTAGGGCATGTCTACACTACCACCCTAGTTCAAACTAGGGTGGTAATGTAGGCAACCGTTACTCCTCATTCCACGAGGAGTAACGGTAGTTCGGACAAGGAAGCCTAGTCCGAACTACCTAGTCTGTGCCGCGTGTAGCCGCGCGGCATGGAGTCCGCACTAGCGGACATTTAAAAATGGCGGCGCCCGGCTTTATGCAAATGAAGCCCGGGAAATTCAAATCCCGGGCTTCATTTGCAACTCCGGTTGCCTACATTACCACCCTAGTTCAAACTAGGGTGGTAGTGTAGACATACCCTTAGTGCCTATCTACTGAGATTCATGGATCTCAAACTTAATTTATAATGTTATAAGCTGGGTGAAATCTTGTTATGAGTTGAGTTCAAACCTCTTTGATCCTGGTAGATGTGAACTATAAGTATAAGCTTCACCTAAGACAAAAGATTTGCATGAATCTCAGGAGCTCCAGTCTGAGTATTGTTTAGGGTATATGTGTGGATGCAAGGGAAGAGAAATCATTCAGAAACTAAGGTCAGACAAGAACAGATTGAGTGAGAGAGAGGGCCTGCAGTAGCAACTGAAGGCATATGGCTAACCTAGTAAGAAACCTAGTAAGACATTTTTGGATCAGAGGCTCAGGCTGAAAAGAGGTTTTTTGGTGCTGTGAGCAAAAGAAACTGTTTCTTTCTGAACTCAGAGACTCAGGACTTTGCACATGTTTGTAAACAAAATAAACTGTATGCAAGAAATACCTGACTACCACCAATTTCTACTCCCAACTGGAACATCTACAGGGATCCAAATTTTCACTAGCCACTCAGATAAAAAAGGGACAACAATAATTATTCATTTAGTAAGTCACACAATACCCATGTGAAATGAATAAGTATTACTATGGTCAATTTATGGATGGATAACCTGAGGCAAAGAGAGATTCAGTAGTTTTCTCTAGGCTATCTTGTGAATCAACTATGTAAGACTATGTGTATTGTTTATTGAAATCTATAGCCGGTAGCCTAGTCAGGGTGAGGTGGAGTCAGGGATGGTTCAGAGAAGCTTCTCTACAGGGAAGTGCAGGGGGGAAATGTAACTTTAGAGGGAATAGTATTTTCCTTATTCTAATCAGTATTAGCTGAAAGCGTCTCTATCTGTTCTCATTTCCCATTGTCATATGATGACAAAATACAGAAATGGGAATACATCTCAACAACGCTGATAAGAGGCAGCAAGTGGGGGGAAGCAACTCATCGAGTTGACTATCCAATAAGCATTTGATTTTAGGATAGTCGACTAGTTGACTAGTCACTTACACCCCTACCTGACTGCTCCTTTTGAAGTCAGTGTTAAAAATCCCATTGACTTCAGCGAAAGCAGAATTGGGTCAGTTCTAGCATTGTTGAAAATCCTACCCTATAACTAAATAAAATAATTTAGGAACGAGGCCATCCATGACAACATTTACTCTTGAACACATTTACTGCATATATTTTGCTTTGATCAACTCCCACAGTAAACTATTTTATATGTTTATTAAATATAAAAACTATAGTAAAAATACTCAAGTTGTGAAGTCAAGCACTCAAAAGTTGGGAAATATCAGAATTAAGGTTGCCTATGCAACCTGAATTCAGCCTCTGGGATGTATGCATTATGATACTCATTAAAAATGATACTATTTTTAATTTAATATTTTATTTTTTCCACAGGATACCTGCACAAAAGAGTGTATGCCAAAAAGGGAGCTTAGGTTGAGGTTGTATGTCTTATTTTATGGATAAAATTCATATTTTTTTAAAAAGTCCCTTCAAAGGCTTCTTTTTTCCAGTGTGCATTTTTTCATGTTTGTATCTTTGCACAAGAAAATATTTGTATAAACAAGCTACATTTCTGCATTCAACTGGGTATTACTGGCTTTTTTTATCATTCTAGTCATATATTGTCCTCAACTATCCATTCAGTGCAATCAAAACAATGGGTGTGACCAAAAAATAAAAGGCTAAGGACTCCGGTAGCAAAAATCATGTTCTGAGTTCTGAATGACTACAGCATAAGCATGTTGGCTACGTCTACACTGGCCCCTTTTCCGGAAGGGGCATGTAAATTTCACGAGTCGTCGTAGGGAAATCCGCGGGGGATTTAAATATCCCCCGCGGCATTTAAATAAAAATGTCCGCCGCTTTTTTCCGGCTTTTAAAAAAGCCGGAAAAGAGCGTCTAGACTGGCCCCGATCCTCCGGAAAAAGCGCCCTTTTCCGGAGGCTCTTATTCCTACTTTGAAGTAGGAATAAGAGCCTCCGGAAAAGGGCACTTTTTCCGGAGGATCGGGGCCAGTCTAGACGCTCTTTTCCGGCTTTTTTAAAAGCCGGAAAAAAGCGGCGGACATTTTTATTTAAATGCCGCGGGGGATATTTAAATCCCCCGCGGATTTCCCTACGACGACTCGTGAAATTTACATGCCCCTTCCGGAAAAGGGGCCAGTGTAGACGTAGCCGTTAAGTTTTATTCAGTGATTATGCATGATAAGGAAGGATTTCTTTACCTCCACCACAATATCTGTAACCTTCTGGTTAGAGCTGGTGCATCTGCGTTCTCCACTTGTGAGCAAAATAGGATCTCATTTAAATAGATAAAGCTCTTCAAGGATAGCATGTATTCTCCCTGGCTGTGTCTACACTGGCATGAATTTCCGGAAATGCTTAAAACGGAATACTATTCCGTTTTCAGTTATTCCGGAAAAGGAGCGTCTACATTGGCAGGCTGCTTTTCCGGAAAAGCCCCTTTTCTGGAAAAGCATCTGTGGCATATTTAGACACACTTTTCCGGAAAAGAGCCCCGATCGTCATTTTCGCGATCGGGGCTTTTTTCCGGAAAAGAATACTGGGCTGTCTACCCC